TATATATATATATATATATATATATATATATATATATATATATATATATATATATATATATATATTCTCTATATATATATATTCTATATTCTATCGCTATTTCCATCGTAGCTGCTCTCTATATATATATCATATATATATGTAATATATATATCTATATATATGACCGAACGCTCCTCTGTGGACAAATCGGTAAAGGCACGTCAAGCTAAATGACGGTTCCGTGTAGAATACAGGATCGAATCCTGTCGGAGGACAAATATTTTGTGCGAAAATTTCTCGGACATTCAGGCCGGTAAATGTTGTTTAATACTGTTTATTATAAACGGAGCATTTACTTAAATATTTGTATCTATAAATAGAATGTATAAGCATAAAATGTCTTAATATATATATATATATATATATATATATATATATATATATATATAGTTTATTTCTTTGTTCCATGTAATCTTTATTTAAAAAAAATCTATTATGTAAATTTTTGTATAATATTTATGCATTACACCTAATCTTTATGCGGTAAAAATTTCATTGCTTATCATGCATTACTTTTTAAGAATCCAGGTAGAACTCAATGGCCAGGACAGGGTAAGGATATAATAAAAGGCTTAAATACTAATATTAGTATTTAAGCCTTTTTACATATATATATATATATATATATATATATATATATATATATATATATATATATATATATATATATATTCTTGCTATATGTTGTCAGTAATTTAGATTTTAAATTTTAATGAGCAATTGCTATAAAGGACTACCAGGAGTGGGAAGTCATGGAGAGTCATGATTGCCTTACGCTATTAAGGGACATGTTACATAGAAGAAGAGGAGGCTCAATATGGAATAAAAAGTCGGGCGTTTAATTAAACATAAATGCTGCTAATATTTGCACACACTTAGTACAATCTCCTCAGTCTTGCTATATGTAGTCAATAATTTAAATTTTCATCCAAGAAGAAGAAGAAGAAGAAGAAGAAGAAGAAGAAGAAGAAGTTTTACATGAAATGGAGATAAAGAGAACACTTGTATTTAACATCAGAAAGAGAGACTTGAAATTTCTCAGGCACATAATGAGGCCAGAAGGCTTGGAGAATTTCTACACACAGAACGAATTGAAGACCATAAAAGCAGAGGAAAGCAGCGAGTTTTTGTAAATGGAAAGAAAAGCATGGTTTGGAGAGATAAAACAAAGATAACATTTATTACGAGTTACAAAAGAAAGGAAATTGTGGAGAGTCATGATCGCCAATATCCTGAAAGGACACGGCACGTAAAAGAAAATGAAGACTCCAATCGTCTTTTTTTTCAAACCCGAGTAACAACAAACAGAAAACCAATCTCGTTGCTTCACTTGGATTTTACAAATGTTTCAATACGCAATAACGGCGGTTTTATACATCCGCTTCTATTCCCTTCCCCATCGCGTATCGTTATTTTTTTTTTATAACGAATATACCTTCTTCTTCTTTTTATGTACCGTGTCTTTCCAGGACGTGGGGGATCATGGCTCTTCACAGCATCCTATCCTTTGTAGTTCTGAGTCATGTTTTTCCTTTAATGATCCCTTCCAATCCCTGTTTTGCCATCCATTTTCAAATATTCATTAGATATGTTACTCCCTGCTTCCCTCAGACTTTTAATATGCCCTCTGAGTGTCGAAGTTTCCAAGCTCATTTCCTCATTATGTGTCCCACATATTATAACTATTTCTGATTCTAAGTATCCTTCTTGTCTCCAAGATTTTTAAAATTCCTCGTTACGCACATGCACCGTCCATGCTATTCTTGCCATCCCTCTCTACACCCACATTTCTTTTACATCACGTCATAACTTCATCTGTGGCAAAATATCTAGCAATCACTTCTTGTAGAGGAGCCTGTTAGTGAATAAAAGTTGGATAGACTAATATTTATTTTCTACAAAATGTTTCTTTTTATTTTATTTTATTTTAAATATTTTCCTTAAATTTTACTTTTCATACTTTTCATACATTTTCAACAAATTCATCATATGCCCTGTGAGTGTACAATTCTCCAAGCCTTCTTTCCTCTTTATCTGTCGGAGAAATTTCAACAGTCTATTATAATCAAAATCGACAAAGGAAATTTTAAGCTTCCTTTGTTGTCATGATTTTTCTTAAAAAAAAACAAACTCTTACATACATGCATGTTCTTGGCAGGGTATTCTCAGCATCCTTCTATAGAACCACTTTTCTGATACCGCCATTTTTTCCCTCAATATTCACTGGGAATTCAGAATTTTTTAAATGTTTAACAATCCGACTCTGCAAATAAAAATTAGTATATGTATTGTCTTATTTTTTATAAATGTTGTTAATATTATGCGTAAAAGTCAATATATATCACGTAGTGAGCTGCCAATCCTAATAACGTTTGATTGGAAGATGACATTAAAATTAATATTGATTGGCCGAAAAAAAGTCTAGAAGGAAAACATTCTTAGCAGTCTTTATTTGTGCGTACGTGTGTATCTCTTTGGGAATGGTCAACTTTGATATAATTACTTTAAAAAAAAAATAGTTTTACAAACGATATTTATATTGGTTCAATGCTGTCGATTGGTTGCATGCACTTATGTATAAAACTTTTCAAGACTCTAATGCGATTAGCGATTGTAGAATTTTTTCATCAGACAACTTCCAGCCTTAACAGATTTCAGAATCGTCTACGCGTCCTTGTAGGTGATGAATTATTTTTAACACTACAGCTCCTTTCCTACAGACGAAACGTCGCCATTATATCGTTATTTGCAAGGAAAATGTTCTGCCGAGAGACATTGCCCCGTTGCACCAGTTCAAACCTTACAGCTAACGCCTGCCATGCCTCGTATACCGGATCAAATCTCATTCATTCTCTTTGTATTTCACTGGAAAGAATGAACATCGGTTCCGATAATTATACCGAAGACAATCTGCTTTGAGGAATAAAACCACGAGACGATGTCTCCCCAACAACTACAATACTTAACCTATTAACTATTATATTTAACTACATAATTAACATATTAAGTATTATACTTAACTGCAATATTTAACCTATTAACTATTATACTTAACTGCAATGCTTAACCTAATAAATATTTTACATATCTACAATACTTAACCTATTAACTATTATACTTAACTACATACTTAACCTCTTCTAGTCTACGGTTAACCATTATCTATCCTACATATCCCCCTAATCTACAGTTCTTACCTCCTCCTCTTATATCCATAAAAAAAACTTAATTTAGTATCCCTCTACCTTGAGTGACTCTTGAGCTTTAAATTGGGTAGGCAATATTGTTTTAAAGTCATATTTTTATATGCTTTGCTCTTTGGACCAATCGAAGCCACATCAGAATGTCAAAAGTTGCCTTCCAGAAACTATGCAAAGTACTAAGAAAGATAATAATTTCATTAGAAACAAAGAAAAGAAGACTTAACTGCAGGGTCATACGTACGATTGAATAGCAAAAGATGCCTTCTAAACTATTAAGAAACCGGAAAATTAAATTATAAAACAAATAAAGGAGCACTGATCTGTTATTTAATATCAGTGCTCTTCACTGACAGAAAATATTAGACAATCTCCTCGCAAATAAATAGAAAACAGAAGGCAACAGAAATGTGGTTCTACAGAAGGATACTGAGAATACTCTGGACTGAACATATAAGCAACAAGGAAATTTTAAAGAAAATGGAAACGAAAAAACTCATATACATAGAATCAGAAAGGGATAACTGAAATTTCTTGGAAATGTAATGAGGAAGAAAAGCTTGGAGAATTTGACACTCACAGGGCACATCAAGGGTAAAATAAACAGGGGGAGTTAGCTGATTATCTATCTGACATTCTAGTATGAATGGATGTACTTCTAAAATTTTGATGAATGAGGATTGAGCCGTTTCAACCCAGATAAGAAAGTAAAACTCCATCCTTAGATTTAATCCGTGGATTATTTGCTACACTTTTCTACACATTTACCACCATTTTCCCATAGATAAAATCTCGCAAGGATGTCGCTCTCCTAACCTTCTTTCCATGGCCAATGTTCCAGAAAGTTACAGTGATTATTTACACTAGCTCAGACATCTGCAGCAAGGAGACACCATGTTACTTCCACAGAGTTACATCATCATCGTTTCCCCCCTGTGTTCCACATACAATAAGGAAATTCCAGTCAGAGACATTTATACCATTTTTTTGGACATTTTGTGGAACAGTCATCCGCGTTGATACTTCCCTGAACACTATAATATTAATATCTTCAAGTCAACGTTGAAGTCAACGGTCAAACGTTATCTATCCTCCTTATCCTCCTAATTTTCACTTCCGACCGGTTTTTCTTTTATTCATACCACAAACCTCATTCAATCTGACCGTTTTAACAGAAAACCACTATATTGAGTAGTTCTAGACTCCTATTTTTTTTTGAAGTTTCATATTACAAATATCACTATATATTAGTATATCCGTACATATCCGTATGTCGATAAACTACATCTGTGTCCCGGGTAAGACGATAAACTACGTCCAACAGCAAGACCTCTGATCAGGAGGTTTTGAGAAGCGTGAAGCCACTTCTTAATTGTTGGTGTTCAGGGTGGACCTGACCTGTTAGGGACCCAGCTATGGGCAAATAGTTAACCGCCAAACTGCGGTCAAAATACTATGAAAGTGTAAAAATACCTGAAATACTTTGTAAAAAATACGTTAGTACTAGCGATACATTTTTGAAGAAAAATATTACCAGAAATAGATTTTTGAAGGTAAAAAAAATACCAGAAATACATTTGAAAAAAAAATATTACCAGCAATAAAAAATGTTGTCGGCATTAAATACCCACTGAGGTTTTTGTAAAAAAAAAAACGAAACCAATACATTAGATAGAAAAGATAGAAAAATAGATAAAACATATTATCAGCAATAAAAATGTCGGCATTAAATAACCCATTGAGGTTTATGAAAAAAAATCAAACCAAACCAATATATACGGAGATATATATATAGATAGATAGATTGATAGATAGATAGATAGATAGATAATAAAACATATTATCAGCAATAAAATCTCGTCGGCATTAAATAACCCAAGGTTGATATGCCGTAAAACAAATCAAACGAAACCAATATATACCGAGATATATAGATAGATTGATAGATAGATAGATAGATAGATAGATAGATAGATAGATAAAACATATTATCAGCAATAAAAATCTCGTCGGCATTAAATAACCCATTGAGGTTGATATGCCGTAAAACAAATCAAACCAAACCAATATATACGGAGATATATAGATAGATAGGTAGTTGATAGATAGATAGATAGATAGATAGATAGATAGATAGATAGATAGATAAAACATATTATCAGCAATAAAAATCTCGTCGGCATTAAATAACCCATTGAGGTTGATATGCCGTAAAACAAATCAAACCAAACCAATATATACGGAGATAGATAGATAGATAGATAGATAGATAGATAGATAGATAGATAGATAAAACATATTATCAGCAATAAAAATCTCGTCGGCATTAAATAACCCATTGAGGTTGATATGCCGTAAAACAAATCAAACCAAACCAATATATACGGAGATATATAAATAGATAGGTAGTTGATAGATAGATAGATAGATAGATAAAACATATTATCAGCAATAAAAATCTCGTCCGCATTAAATAACCCATTGAAATGCCCAAACCAATATATACGGAGATATATAAATAGATAGATAGTAGATAGATAGATAGATAGATAGATAGATAGATAGATAGATAAAAATTATCAGCAATAAAAAATCTCGTCGGCATTAAATAACCCATTGAGGTTGATATGCCATAAAAACAAATCAAACCAAACCAATATATACGGAGATATATAAATAGAGTTGATATAGATAGAAATAGATAGATAGATAGATAGATAAAACATATTATCAGCAATAAAAAGCAATAAATAACCCATTGAGGTTGATATACCGTAAAACAAATCAAACCAAACCAATATATACGGAGATATATAGATAGATAGATAGATAGATAGATAAACATATTATAGCAATAAAAATCTCGTCGGATTAGATAGAACCAAACCAATAAAACATATTATCAGCAATAAAAATCTCGTCGGCATTAAATAACGCATTGAGGTTGATATGCCGTAAAACAAATCAAACCAAACCAATATATACGGAGATATATAGATAGATATAGTTGATAGATAGATAGATAGATAGATAGATAGATAGATAGATAGATAGATAGATAGCATAAAACATATTATCAGCAATAAAAATCTCGTCCGCATTAAATAACCCATTGAGGTTGATATGCCGTAAAACAAATCAAACCAAACCAATATATACGGAGATAGATAGATAGATAGATAGAGATATCGTCGGCATTAAATAACCCATTGAGGTTGATATGCCGTAAAACAAATCAAACCAAACCAATATATACGGAGATATATAAATAGATAGGTAGTTGATAGATAGATAGATAGATAGATAGATAGATAGATAGATAGATAGATAGATCAGCAATAAAAAGCATTAAATAAGATGAGGTTGATAGTAAAACAAATCAAACCAAACCAATATATACGGAGATATATAAAACATATTATAGATAGATAAAACATATTAAGCAATAAAAATCTCGTCCGCATTAAATAACCCATTGAGGTTGATATGCCGTAAAACAAATCAAACCAATAAACCGGAGATATATAAATAGATAGATATAGATAGGAGATATATAGATAGATAGATAGATAGATAGATAGATAAAACATATTATCAGCAATAAAAATCTCGTCCGCATTAAATAACCCATTGAGGTTGATATGCCGTAAAAAACAAATCAAACCAAACCAATATATAGATATATAAATAGATAGATTGATAGATAGATAGATAGATAGATAGATAGATAGATAGATAGATAAAACATATTATCAGCAATAAAAATCTCGTCGGCATTAAATAACCCATTGAGGTTGATATGCCGTAAAACAAATCAAACCAAACCAATATATACGGAGATATATAGATAGATATGTAGTTGATAGATAGATAGATAGATAGATAGATAGATAGATAGATAGATAGATAGATAAAACATATTATCAGCAATAAAAATCTCGTCGGCATTAAATAACCTATTGAGGTTGATATGTCGTAAAACAAACCAAACCATCCGCACCTACACTTCATTAAGCCCCAAAGGTGCATGTCTAAAACACAGTTACTATATCTTCGGGCTTGGATCAGAATGGACTATCTGATCTCATCTTAAATTTATGAGAGAGGCATGGTCCAAGAGATTCCTCTCCTACTGGTTCAACGTCTTAATTGCACTAAAGAGAGAAAACTAATGGACACCATTCTCTGACAGTGGACGCGGGAACGGGAAACATTTGTTCTTTGCCCCTAGTTATACTTATATGCAACCCAAATTAAACTGGCATTTTGTCAGATCCTGTCGCTTTTGGGAGGTCAGTAAACAGCACGCTCATTTACACGTCCTTCTGGCTAGGATAAAAGTGTAGTATCTGATATCTTCCTCTTCTTAATATCCTGTTTTCGAGCCGTTCCCCGAGAATCAGTGAGGGAAGTCTAGTCTTGCCCTGCGTCACTAAAATCGGTTAGTCAAACGAAGCTGAGGCCTGGTCATGAGGATAGGCATTTTTTTTTTTTTGCTTTTAGACCTTATGTACGCCTATGAATAGTCCACGTGAAACTGACCATGTATAACCTTTTATCGACTTGGTTTGGCAGGTCGATACAGATTATACGGAGTGACTATTCGACTATTTAATGAGATGATAAATCTCTAACTTTTTCTCTTGGGTCATAATTTAACAGATTGCTTTTAGTGGCGTTGTGACAGCTGTCATATAGGCGGGAATACTTACATGTAATTATCAGAACTGGTGAATTTTTATTGATTCTAAATATAATAATATAGACGTACAGACTTAAATATATCAACATCTTTATTATCATCATCAGTGTGTGGTCGTAGTGTTGCTGCATAGCTGAGCACCTGACCAATCCACTTCACTTAACTTAGCCGAAGAGATATTAATTTATGAGTTGACCCGGTACAGCCTATTCTTACTTAGGTCAAACCACAGCCGATATCCTCCAACTGAAAGGCTTGCCTTAGTCACGAAACACCTGGCCATTGATTTTATCGGAGGTAACACTTCGCCCTGAGCGTTAACTTCAATCTAGAAAGCCCTCCGCTTAGCGATCTCGTGTCATCACTGCATACCTAACTATGGAGTCCAGTATAGTCCATTATACTACAAGAAGTTTAATACGCCCTTTGACAGGTCTTAATCTTGTTTCGTATTTAGTCAGAAAAGCCTGGTGGGGAAGCCGGTTTCTTTCCTGATGACTCCACCATGCGGGATGGCATATATGGTGCCAATAGTAATCTTAGCGTAACCTGACATAGTGATAACACAAACTTAATCTCTCGTGTTTAAAATTATTCATTGCTCAACTTATGATTTCTTCGTGCTGTGTGGGACCTCAGAAGCCTTATCCGAAACGCTGACCATATATAAACATCTACGGTGGCTGAGGGACAGCCTGTCCACTCATTTTTGATAGAAGTATTTATGTATGTCTTGCTTCTCGTTTCCACATTTGCAAGCCATGGTTAGATCTGAGATAGAGTGAAGCTGTATCCGGCGGGGGGGGGTAGAAGGTCACCTAGGATCAATTCTTCCCCTGGCACCTTTGATCATCTTGTGTTATATTAAGTACACATTCTATATTGACATTTAAAAACGAACGGAAATAAGCATAATTTTCATCATGTGCTTTTGCATTTTCAGAAAGACTAAATGCAACTAAGATGTTAAGTGCAAATTTAAGGAAGTCAAATGGTTATTAAATGATATGAGATATTTTGAGAAAGGTCAAATGTGTAGCAAAGGATCCGTACCATTTTAAGAAATATATAATTTATCTTAATATATATATATATATATATATATATATATATTTATAAAATAAGGTAAATTTAATCTCAAATTTAGTAACCCATTTGAAGAAAGCTAAAATGCAAATTAAATGATGTGGCAATATAATATAATATATATTACATAATATATTAAATGGAAAACAGTCACAAAAATGGATTAGGATTTTAATTTCTCCATGTTGTTATCAGAAAGTGAAGTGGACTTGACAAATACAGGGAAAGTGCCCGGACAAAGATAAGTTACTGAATGAAGATAAATTACTTTTGGAGACAAAGATGACAAAAAAAAAAACCCAAAAAGAACAATGTTATCTATAAAACAGTGGCCACTGGCCGCGAGAAGTCAGAGAGTCTGCGAGCGACCACAGAGGACATCAGACGTCAGTTCGACAGTTCACCTTGCCCTTAATCTACACCTCATCTTGGTTTCGATCGTCTATACTAGTAAGTTACTACCCGAGAAAGAAAACTAGTTTACTGCTAGAAATTGTCATGGTTTTAATTCGTGTGCAACGATCTGGAGAGAGGGTTATTTTTAAGTCACAAGCGTTCGACTGGAAGAAGCTGCTCAATGGCAACAAACCTGGTGTCTGGTCTGAGCTACAACACTACACTGAGGAAGAATTGACTGTTATGAAATAAAAAAAAATATTCTTGGGAGGACACCAGGCTTGAGAGATAGAAAAGTTGGAAGCACCATCCTGAGTGTATTAAATCTTGTCCAATATTCTAATAAGAGGTAAAGAACACTCAAGCCTTAATGTATAGTATACCATCACTGTTGTGACGTCGTCCCCCGGTCGTAGCGCCGACTATGACGTTCTATCCTGATCTACCACGGCGCCAGTTGTGACGTCCCCAAACAGCACCAATTGTGACGTCCTCGCCGCGGCGCCAGCTGTTCGCTCCTCGCTGCTCCGTTCGGGTGTCGCTGCTCCAAACGTGACGTCCGCCTGTCGCGTCAGTCGTGTTGTCTCGTCCTGTGACGACCAACTGGCTTGGTATCGGTCGCGGCACCCAAATGTGACGTTCTAACCTTTTGGTGATTCGGGTGGGAATCTGGTTAGATTTGATATCAGCCTCGTCGTTCCCAACTCGCTTCCAACGCCTGGTTACCAAGGTAACTGCATTGATCTCCAGTCTGCCTACCCACGTTGTGAATTGATCTTAGACAGACGAGATCAAACAGTGGTTGGGGCCGTAATGCAAACTGAGTTCAACGGGGGTGATACTACACAAATATGCATAAAAGAAAATAAAATGAAAACTCAAAAAGTTCAAAGTATCAAAGAAAAGGTAACAAACTTTATGTCTAGTTGTTCGATACATAGGACTGCATCTATCTCCCGACCCGTTCTGTGGATTGTGGCACGTCGTTTTCCGTTAGGCAAGTTTTTAACGCTTCAAGTTGTTTGCTCTCTAAGAAATTGGCGTTTCGGTGTGTCTTTGGACGAAAGTCGAAAAAAAACTTATTTCGGTGGTCTGGTTCTGAGTCGCTCTTCAAAATAATTGTTCTTGGGTTGAAGAGGAGTCCGGAATTTTGCGTGAATCTTGGTCAGCTATCTGCGAGGCGGTTTCAACTGGAGACTCAACTCTCCGCTGCAGCCCAAAACTATCTGATTTCTGCCTGTTGGGACCTCGCTTTTATTGACGCCGACCAAAACCGGGGTGGGTCTGTCGGCGTCGGGGGGTTCCTCGATAATTCTAAATACATATCCACCTCTTTTATTTCTGGTTAGGGATTTTCCACTCTTTTTCCATTTTTGGGAACCTTTCCTCCTCCCACTTTCTCACCATACTTCTGAGGGGCGTGAACTGCCCTCCCACTTCCTCGTAGCAGCTTCTCATACTTATACTCTGGATGAGGCGTCGACAGCCTTCTTCATGCGTCACGTGATCACCACTCGGCCAATGAGGTCTTAGTCGGGTATCTTTCCTCCTCCTTCGTGCGTCACGTGATCACCACTTGACCAATGATGTCTTAGTCGGGCGTGAACAATCCGCGGCTTTGTTTCGGGGGAAAAAAATATCTTGCTTAACTAAAAAAAAAAAATTATCTCTTCTCTTTCCCTTTTCTTACGCTTTAATCGCCGTTATCATTTTTCTAGCCGCAAACGGACAATATGACAACTCTTGTTCTATACGTGGTTTTTGTCAGGTATTTTATCGCTAATTATCAAAATGGGTGGTCTTCTTAACACGGCCTCAAAAAGAAATATCTCTAAAATTTCAGTCAGTCTGTCGCCTCCAAGGAAGAAGAAAAAACACTTCTGGGTCCCCATTCATTTTCCTTCGGTACATATTTCTGATAACATAATTTTATTATCGCAGGCCAAAGTTGTTTCGTCGAAAAAAAATTCGGTCAGCGGACACGGCTTGTGTGGTTTTTAATTTTTCATATCTACCCAAAGTCCTGTAGTTACACCTGTGTTTTGTCAATTATCAAAATTAACGTTTTTTGAATTTTTCGTTGGCCAGTCGAGCAGCCGTTTTGTTTACGTACTCCTAGATAACACAGCCGTTATCAAAACACATCCGTTTCTTTCTTTCTTTCC